AGCCCTCTCCTTGCCCCAGGCCGTCTCTGCCCCCCCCGGGCCTGGCCTGTAGGTCTGGCCCGGCTCCCGCTGGCAGCGGCTCCTCTGGCTCCGCTTCAGAGCAGGGCGCCAGCCCCTCCAGGTGTCGGCGCAGCTGGCATGGAAGCGGGGCCCCTGGCAGGAAGGCCGGGGCACCAGCTGCGGTCCTGGGAACAGCACACGTGGTAACCTCGCCTCCAAGGGTTCCTCCAAGGCCCTCGGGAGGAAGGAGCTGTCTGGCTGGCTGTGGCCTGGGGCCGGCCCCACCTGCCCCGTCTCTGGTGGTGCTGAGATTCAAGGCAGGAAGTGAACGTGAGGCCCCCCACATGAGTCTCTCATTGTCCTGCGGCCTTCTCGAGGCGCACTGCCAGGCAGGCTGCGGCTCTGTCCCCCGCGGGTGACAGTGAGCCCCCAGAAAGTCTGGGCCTCGAAGGTTCTGCAGGAACATCTGCCTCTGCAGCCCCTGGCTCACCCCTTCACACCCGTCCTCCTACACCCACTGCCCAGAGCTGGGGTCGTGTCCAGCGTCACCTGGCCTTTCTTACTCATGAGGCCCAGGCAGGAGCAGGTCGGAAGGAGGGCCTGGGGCGGCAACAGCAGAGGGACAGGACAGGCAGTCGCAGGGCCCAGTGCGGGAGGACAGGAGGGACTGAGGCCGGAACCCAGCCACCGTGCCCAGGAGCTGCGGAGAGCCAGGGGCCGGACTCCTGAGCCAGGAAAGCCTGGGGACTCTGCTCGGAGGGCAACGGGAAGCCAGGCAGGGTCTGAGCAGCGTAGTAAACGCCAACACTCGTATTTTAAAGAGATCTTCCTGACCGCAGTGTGGGTTATGTCTTAGGAGGAGGCAGGCGCAGTGCCAGAAGTGGGTAGGAAGCCATGTGACCTTCTGGAGGAAAGGCAGACTGGCAGCTGTGGGGTGAGACAGGTCTCAGCCAGGGAGTGACGGGCCGGCACTGGAGGGCCGTCTGGGATGCCCGGGATGCCTCCCAGGTGACGAGCTGAGCAGGATGGGGGTGGCGCTGCTGGTAAGGAAAGCCGCCATCCAGCTGGCTTTGTGGCAGCCAGTGTCAGTTTGTGGGGAAAATGCCTCCCCCAAAGCTTTTCACACAGTCTGCTGGGACCCTGCGTGTGTCCCTCAGACGATGCCCCACCTCTGCCTCCCTCAGCCATTCTCTGGTCCTCCTCACCTGCATAAGTGTCAGCCACACAGTCAGCATGGACAAAGACAGAGCACAGCCTGGGCACGTCTATAATACCAGTACCCTGGGAGGCTGAGCCAGGAGGATTGCAAATCCAAGCTCAGTCCAGGCAACTCAGCAACTTAGTGAGACTATGACAAAATAAAACTTTGTTTTGGTTTGTTTTGTTTTGTTGGTGGTGTGGTCTGAGACAGGGTCTCACTATGTAGTTGAGAATGACCTGGAACTTAGCTCAGGCTGTCTGGAACTCACAGCAATCCTCCTGCCTCACCCTCCCGAGTGCTGGGATTACAGGCATGTGCCACCATGCCCGGCAAAATAAAACATTTTAAACTAAGGGTGCAGCTCAATGTAAATCCCCTGGGTTCAATCTCCAGTACTGAGAAAAAAAAGGAGTTGGGGCCGCCCTCCCTGTGGAGCTTGCATCCCTCCACCACCTGCCTTCAAAAGAAAAAGGGTTGGCACTGTCTGTGAGGTGGCAGCTTCTGCTGCTCAGACCCACCCTGAGGCCCAAAAGGAGGACTGGGGAGGGAGTGCATCTGGCCCAAATCTGATCAGGCAGGGTCTGGGAGGGGGGCCGCATACCTGTAACCCCAGCTATTTAGGAGGCTGAAGCAGGAGGATCTCTGGGCAATTTGGGGCTGGAGCTGAGCAGCAGAGCACAAGTTGGTCCCCAGGAACTCAGTTAAGTGTAACTGACAGACACCCAGGTGTAAGAAAGATTCAAGGGCCAGGTTTTGATGCCCAACACTGGTTATGGGAGCAATCAGAAAACAAAGGTCTTGCTCCTGGAAGCTTCTGGTGCAAAGCTGGCAGCGCTGGCGATGTGCCACAAATCACACTGTGTGGCGACTGCTCAGTGCCTCCTCCAAGAGCCACAAAGCCACCTGGGAAGAGCCACCCATCAGCCACCAGCATCACCGGTCCCAGCACCAGGTTGCACCGCCCACATGCACAGATAGTTTGTGTGCCTGTTTTATTTGTGCCTAAAACCAAAACACATGCTGGGTGTGGTGGTGCACACCTGCTATCCTACCACTCAGGAGGCTGAGGCAGGAGGATCACTGCAAGTTCAAGGCCAGCCTGGGCTATAAAGTAATTCAAGGCCAGGCTGAACTACATAGCAAGACCTTGTCTCAAAAAAAGGGGAGGGAGCTAATGTTCAAGAACCACCCAGGCAAGAAGCTAAAGGCCAGATCCAAGGCTAGAGGTTGCCATAGTAGTGTCCAGCGTGTGTGGCTGAGGCAGGAAGACCTCAGTGGGGCAGGGCAGTTGCTGGAAACCCCTGTCTCGGGGCTGCAGAGGAGCAGGACTTACTGGCAACTGCTGGGATTAGACACAGGCAGCAGTTGCACAGTTTTTTGAATATATTAAAACACACAATCATACTTTTTTTTTTTCTTAATATTTTGAGACAGGGTTTCACTACTTAGTTCAGCCTGGTTTTGAACTCAGTATGTATCCCAGGCTGACCTGGAACTCACAGCAATCCTCCTGCTGATGGGATGACAGGCAGCTGCCACCACGTCTGACTCATACAGTTTTTGTTGTTGTTTTGTTGTTTTTGTTGTTGTTGTTGTTTTGTTTTGGTACTGGGGATGGAACTGGGTCCTTGCACTTGCAAGACAGGCGGAGGAACCACTGAGCCAACTCCCCGGCCCTTGAATCGTACAGTTTTAAACAGTGGATTTTTAGTTATATCACAATATAATAAAAGAATAAAGAGAAGTAAACAATGGCGGTAACAGCTGTAAGGAGAGGCTCAGTGTCCCAGGCAGGTGACAAACAGGAGATGGCTTCCCTGAGAGGCCGGGCCCTAGGGTGCAGGTTGTCCTGGGAGGGGCAGGAAGGAGAAGCTGCCCTGCCTGGGGTCTGGGCGTCTCCGCGCGCAGCTGTCCCTCCTCCCTCCCGTGAAGATGTCAGACGCTGGCCTCTCTCTTCCTTTTGCCCGCCCTGTTCTCAGATTAGGAGAAACGCTGGGGCAGGGGTGGGGGGACCCCTTAGTCCAGAGAGCCACGGATGGAGGCACCGGGGCGCCCCCCTGTGGCCTCGCCAGCATTGCACGGTTCCTCGCTCGTCTGCACTTAGGGCGGGATTTTTCACCTTGTGGCCTAGCAATAGACACGGCTGGCTTTCTCCCAGATACGCTAAGACAGGAGGTGAGAAAAAGAAGATAAACTAGCCTCGGAAGCCAAGAGCAAAACGCGAGTGCTGTCCATGTCAAAGAGGCAGTGTGGTCTCCCAGAAACGCAGCCTTCAGGGCGGTGCGGGCTCCAGGCTGAGGTGCGAGACCCCTCAGCCGCAGTGGGAAAGGTGTAATTCCTGCGCCACACCAGCTGGGAGCCGCTTCCTGTCTCTGCAGATGGAAGCCACCTGCCCAGGACAGGCGCCCTCTCCCCGTGGCCGCTGACGCTGCTGTCCTTGGCTCACCCAGGTGCCAGCTTAGGGAGCTCAGACTCAGGAAAGTGGAGTCTTAGACAATTACACGCCAGCAAAATAAGACACTGCATAAGGGAAGGGAGCGCTAAGGTCAGAAGGGCCCATCAGACACGGATGGGGGCCCCGCTCAGGAGGGGAGCTTGGCACCCTGCAGCCCATGGATGGAGCCCAATGAGGGCTGACTTCTGCCTCTCCCTACCGCTGCGCTGCAGCCCTGGGCAGTCTGAACTTGGCCTTGCTGCATCCCTTTGCTCGTTCCGCAGCTGGGGATTTGGCTCCATGCTTCTGCTGCCTGCCTCACAAGCGCAAGGGCCTGAATTCCGTCTCCGGTACCCACTAAAAAAACTGCAGCCTGGGCTAGTCCAGGGGTTTACTTCCTGTGAGGTGGGAGGGGCTGGAGGAAGCAGGGACAGAGGGGCCTCCACGGGCCCTGAGACAGTGCGCCCCCCCATCTGCCATCTGCCTCCAGGGTCGGAGGTGCCACTCGCTGTTCTGGCCTTTTGGTGCCTTGCTAAATCCCAGTGCCACTTGCCAAGATCCTTTAAACCTCTTGGCCGTTCTCTGTGCCTTTTCTGATCAGCTGTATTTATCCTCAACTAAATGGCCCTCACTGCAGAATGAAAGGAAACCTTGGCCCCACTACAGCTACACCCTCTTCTGCCGCCCGCCCTGCCCCAGCCCCTGCCCGTCCCCAGCCACGGTGCCCCTGCGCTGAACTGGAGTTGCTCTTGGTTCAGGGCGGCCAGGGCAGAATCCAGTCACAGAAGTGAGGTGACTGGGGGGCTTGATTCGGGGATCCCTCTTCCACATGTCTTGCTGGGGGCTGGGGGCCCAGAAACAGCTCCTCCCGCTCTCTCATTCTCCCTCTCTTCCCCTTCAGGATTGTGCTCATGGACGATGCCATGGACTGCTTGATGTCTTTTTCAGATTTCCTTTTCGCCTTCCAGATCCAGTTTTACTACTCAGGTGAGCGGGTCGGGGCCCACATCGCCCTGTCCATCTGTGTCTGGCACACGCAGTTCCCTTCCCTACTTACTTTGGGGTGCTCGTCACTGCGGGCACTAATGGGATGTCTGGTTGGCACTGGTGGTCACAAGATTCAGTCTTCAGGGTGTACTTCCGGGCTCCTAAAGACACTGAGAACCATGCAGCCTAAAGCCTTCAAGCCACAGTGACAGTGCCCATAGCAGTAGCCTTCACTAGGTTATGCCAGCCTGTCTGAGGCCTAGTGCTGGGCCTTAACCCATCCCACAGCCCTAAGAGCGAGGTCCCGGGTGCGGGATGCGCAGAGACCAGGGACTGAAGCCTCGCGGCGCAGCCAGTGAGCGGTGACTCACACCGAGAGGAGGCCGACACCAAAGCCGGGGCTCCCTGCCACTCCCTGGGCCCCTGGCCTTGTGTGGGGCACAGTCAGCCGCTCACACGGCTTCTAAGAAGCGCACGCTAGTCCTGTCTTGCACACCCACTGCGCCCTCAAGTCCTCTCTGCCCTCAGGTGGAATAAAAATAGACCTGTGTCGAGCGTGGGCTTGCGGGCGAATCCGACGGAATGTGGGGTTTAGAAACTGCTGACGGTGGCCATAAACAGATGGGCTCTTCCAGTAAACACGGGCGTCCTTGGAGACTGGAGGAGGCCTTCCTGCCAGCTGGTGGCCCCCCGGCCCCCCCTCACTTAGGCGCCACATTGTTTACTTGGTAGCAGCACGGGGCTGTTCGGCAGGGCCTGGAGCCCGGGCTCTTGCCACCTGCTCGCAGCAGCAGCAGCAGCAGGCACTACTTTCCCTGGTCTTGGGAGCTCTGGGGCCCTAGGAAGGAGCAGCCGTGCTCAGGAGAGCGCTGCCGTTGTGCACCGGCATGCAGCAGTGTGTCCCCGTAGTGAGGTGGCTGTGTCGTCCAGGCCCAGCTCACTGTAGCAGCTTGCAGGCGGGCTGTGCCCCTTCGCGTGTCCCGCCTGCTCTGCTGGCCTCGAGACGGGACCGAGCACTGGGGCACACGGGTTCACTCTTCCAACGAAACAGCATGTGGCGTGGCAGGCGCCAGGACCCGCTTCCTGCGGGGTCTCACATTCCGGCACGGAGCCTGTGCCACAGAGCCGAGGGCACGTGCAGTGGAGGCGGGCAGTGGGGACCTTGCCTTGTCTGGGGAAAGCTGGGGGGGCTGTCACCCCACACCAGGGTGGCAGCAAGCACAGAGCCTTGGGCTGCTGCGGGGCTGATCTGACAGACAGGAGGGCCTGCGGAGGGACACACTGTGCCCTCCCTGCCTGAACCGTGCCCACCACCCCACGGCCCCAGAATTCCTGGACAGTGTGGCTGCCATCTACCAGGACCTGCTGTCGGGCAAGAATCCCAACACAGTGATCGTGCCAACGTCGTCCAGCGGGCAGCACCACCCGCGACCTGCCTTGGGCGAGGCTGGCGTGCCCGAGGGAGTGGAGGCGTCGCTGTTCTACCAGTGCCTGGAAAACCTGTGTGACCGGCACAAGTACAGGTGGGGACAGGACACACAGACGCTGCCGCAGCCCCGGGTATCAGGAGAGGGCTCTGTGACGGGCCAGGGCTTCCGGGGCCCTCAGTGGTCACAGCACCGAACCAGAGTGAGACCCAGAGGATGCCCAGCCTGCTCACTTGAAAAGTTGCTTTCCCTGGGTGAGACCAGGTACAGCCCTAGTGCAGATGACCCCTTCCCGGACACAGGTTCCCTGACTTCTAAAAAAAGCGTTGCCACAGAAAGCGAGGTTAAGCTGGCTTGTGTGGCACAAAACGTCCCATTGGGTGTCCCCGAGAGGATACTTCCCCCTCCTGCTCTGGTGACAGCGCCCTCAAGAGCAGTGTCCGTCCTCCATCCCCCTTGACACCCTCCCTGCTCCCCCGCCGAGCTCTGGCCTCCGTGCTCTGCCCAGAGGAGCCCCTCGGACAGGCTCAGACAGGCCTGTGTCCCCCTCAGCTGCCCGCCGCCGGCGCTGGTCAAGGAGATCCTGAGCAGTGTGCAGAGGCTGAGCTTCTATGGCTTCCTCATGGCCCTCTCCAAGCACCGCGGCATCAACCAGGCCCTGGGTAAGCAGCCCTGGCTTCCCGCAGAGGGGACACCCCCGCCCGAAAGGAAGCCGTGTCCCTGTGGCAGAGATGTGCCCACCCTTCCCCCAGAACCCCAGTTCCGCTCTGAGGAGCAGCTGGCAATGCCATGGCAAAGAGAACAAATTCCACTTAGAAACAAGGTGAAGGTGTGTCTGAGAAGGTCTTCCTTTCCCAGCCTGGGGGATTAATTTGAAAAAGAGCAAAAAGAAATGGCGCGGTGCTGACCCTGTGCCTGCTGCTTCCCTCCATCTACCTTGCTGCCCCCTGAGACTCAGACACAGCATCCCCTCCTGCAAGGGAGGCAGCAGGGTCCCGGAAAGCTGGGGGTGGGGGACACAAGCACACTGCCACCTCGCAGCCTGGTTATTTGGAGGTCAGTGGCCAGGAGAGAGCCGTCAGAGCTGAGGGCGGCTGCTGGGTGTTCTTTCCATCCTTGGCCACTGACTCCCTACCATCCAGCAAGGACAGCTGCTAGAAAAGGACCGGGAAAGCCAAGTGGCATCTCACCCACCACCAACCTGCTCTGAGCTCGGGAGCCCGCAGGAGCAGGCAAGGGCCGGTGTCTGCCCTGGCCTGCACCTCTGGGTACCAACAGCAGAAATACCCGGCTTGCGGCCAGCCGTGGAACAAACAGGTCCTCGAGGCACCTCCCAAAATTAGAGGGTCCCGTGGAACAGACTTTGAAAACCACTAGCTCAGAGCCAAAGGGGTCAGGAGGGAGCATTTGAAAGACCTGGGAAGTGGGAAACTGCACCGGCGTCCACGGCCAGCGCTGGGGCCAGGGCGCCACCTCGTGGCGAGCACCTTCCCACCCGCACACCTAGCTTCCCTCCCGAGGTCGAGCTAAGGAAAGCACCCTAGAGACTGGGGTAGCGGATCTCACGGGAGGGGGACAGCCACCCTCCTGGGCCAGGACAGCATTTTTCGCCGTGTCCAAAGGGAGGTCATCCTGACGAGGGACATAACTGATTTCCGACTTTGGGGTTGGCCTGGGCCCAGTGCTAAGCCTCAAGCAGGAACTACACGCTCGCAGCACCCCGCCTCTTGGCGGGGACACCCGGTCAGGCGGCCTCTTGTTCCCTACCTACACCGACCAGGACGCCCTGCCCCGCGCTGATGGGGAGGGCGGCCGCGAACGTGAGGGCCCAGACCTCTGCCTGGCGGGGGACCTCGGGTCAGGGTTTGCGCCCCACCCCGCTGTTTCCTAGGAGCGCTGCCTGACAAAGGGGACCTGATGCAGGACCCAGCCATGGACGAGGAGCTGGAGCGGCTGTAAGTGTCCGTGGGGAGACGCTGCCCTCTTGTGGGAGCCGCCCGCGCCGGTCCCGAGGGCCCCGGGGCCCT